TGAGTGCCCGACAGCTGAATGAAAGATTGCAGCTCAACGAAAGATTGTGGCTCAATGCAAGATTGTGGCTCAATACAATTTGTGGCTCAATAGAACATTGTGACTTATTGAAACTTGGTGGCTCAATAGAATTATGTGGCTTAATTATTGTCAGGAGCCACAAAACTGAGCCACAAACTGGCATTGAGCCACAATCTTTCTTTGAGCTGCAATCTTTCATTGAGCTGTTGGGCACTCAGGATGAGTGCCCCCGAAAGCTGAGCAAGCAAATTTTGGGGGGTTGCAGCGTCTTAGCTGCAACCTTGGCATGAGTATGGTTGGGATATGTTACTGTGCGACAGAACTTGGTGGAACCTGATGGAAGGAGCAAGGCTACTCGCGATGCCAAGAACTTTCTTTTGTATTAGTGATCAGGGAGGATCTTTGGGGTATATAAGGGGGTATGCCCCCTCATATTTTATGTTCTTTATGCAATCTGGTAATCTCCTTTGGATACCCTTTTTTACGTTCCAGGGAATTATCTTATCCACCACGATATCACAAACTGTGACTAAGCAAGGCAGATTTTACATAGCTCGGATTTCCAAGCTATAGGTATGTGGGGATTTCACATGACGCACACTAGTGCGCCATAGGTTATTATGTTTACCGGTTGGTGACTCACACTTGTGAGTCACACGATGTTATGATTTTCGCACATGACTCAAGTTATGAGTCATGGGTTTCACTCAGGTGACGCGAGTTGCGCACCTGAAATAGTTATTAAGGTTTTGATTAGGTTTAGGCATATTGCGCAGCGACTCATAAGAGTCGGCTAATGGATTTCGTGTGACTCATAGTTATGAGTCACAAGGGTCGCGTGACACATAAGTATGAGTCATGCCAGGTGAAGAGCTACTATATAAAGGGTCACTAGGACCCCTAGTATTAGCTCTTCACATGTTCTTCTTGTTTATTTCCTACCTTTAAGTTATTATCACTACAAACCTACTTTTACACTCTTTAAGATTTATTCTTAAGAAACCCAAGAATTGTCTTTCCTCTCAAGCGAGAAAACTATTTCTCCTCCCACGTCGAACGACTAAGTCCTAATCGAGGACTACGAAGATTAAAGAGATAGGCGCGAATAAGATAGTAGTCATAGGACTGGACTATCAAGATCGCGTAAGCCCAGGCCTGGGAACTATCTACTTACATCAAGAGAAGTATCGTTACCTATCGCTTGGTCCTACTCGGTAGGATTCTTAACATTAGAACGTGTCTACAACGCGATACTTAACGATTACACAATGGATCCATTCAACAGAGATCACGAGGGAGACATAGACATCCAAGACGACAGTCTAGGATTAGGAGGATTGGAAGAAGCATTAAGCGAAGCAAGTCGACACTCAGCAAGATCGACAAGTCCGGTAACACCTGAACAAACGACCCCTCTGAACGAAGAAGACCCACCCGAGACACCAAGACCTGAGAGAATGTCAGGACCAGCATCACCCCCAGGTCCGCCTCCGGCTGGACCAGCACCTCCTCAGATGATTCCACGGGATGAAGTGGAACAAATGATACGAGAAGCTAAAAGAGGAGCCGGACAATAACCCAAAGTCAAGACCCCACCACGATACGATGGAGAAAGAAGCAAGCTACGAGGATTTATGGTCCAACTCTTGACCTACTTCGATGCTGTCAGATGGACTATGGGAAATGACCAAGACAAAATACGATACACCCTTACACTACTGGAAGGACAAGCACTAAAATGGATAACCCCCATCGTGGTTAGCAACGCTGCATCCTGGACAGACTGGGCCAGCTTCAAAAACATATTCGAAGCCCAATTCACAGACCTAGAATTGAGCCAATCAGCAAGGAACAAATTGGAAGATATTCACCAAGGGGCAAAAACTGTCACCGATTACTGGTACGAGTTTCGACTACTCCAGTACGATGCGGCTTGCGATGAGGCCTCAGCTATGAGGTGGTTCATGAAAGGCTTAAAAAAGACCTATCAAGACGCATGGAGATTTAGCGAAGAAAGATTTACTACAACTGAAGCAATGGCCCACTGGGCAATCTGCAAAGAAATCCAGTTCGGACAACTAGACTGGATTCAGAAGAGCCAGTACAATATGAATACAAGAAACCAAGGCGCACCCAGGAACCAGAATGGAACCTATCGAACTACCACCCAAGGAGGAGATGCCATGGACCTGGATGCAACTAGAAGGAAACCCACACTCAACCTTTCAAGAGACGAGTACCTTCGACGACGAAACAACAATCTATGCCTAAGATGTGGCATAGGAGGACATATGATCAAGGATTGCAGACGATCCGCCAATCCCATTCCAAATCAAGAAAGAAAGCAGCAGAACATGAGGACCAACCCTAGGTTTCAACCACGCAGTAACCTAAGGGAAATCGAAATCGAAGAAGAATACGAAACGGTGGCGAAAGACGAAGGTCCCCAGCAATAGATGGTCTGAGGGACCCTCCAAAAGACAAACCCATCGCAATGGCCAACTACTATACTCTTTTAAGCGCAAATACGGGAGATAACGACAATGATCATATCATGATCAAAACAAAAATCTATAACGACAAAAAACAAGAAACCACGATACACGCAATGCTCGACTCCGGAGCTACGGAGGACTTCATCGATGAAGAAGTCTGCAAGAGACATCAGCTAAGAACCAAGAAAGTAAAAAAGGAAAGACAGATTTACCTCGCCGATGGAAAACCCAGTGCCATAGGACCTATAACCCATACGCACAAGTTCCTATGGAAATTGGAAACCATAGGGAAGTGGCTACTTTCCAAGTGGCAAATCTACAACACCATGAGATAATTCTCGGAATGCCATGGTTAAGACAACATAATCCCAGCCTAAATTGGAAAGAAGGAAAGGTTACGTTTACCAGCGAACGATGTATGACATGGTGTCTCAACAGTTCGCCAGTAATATATGCCACTCCTGAAGAAGAAGCAAATCAAAAGAACCTAGACACAAAATTCAGTCAAGTTCAAACAAAGGATCAAAGGATCAAAGTTCAAAGATTAAGCCATGAGGCTAAGATACCCACAAGAGGATCAGAGAAGGCAGCAGGACACGACCTGTATGGCAATGAAGAAGTCACGATACCAGCCAGAGGGCAGGTAATCATTCCCACAGGAATAGCCATAGAGCTACCTCAAGACACCTATGGGCGCATAGCACCATGCAGCGGTCTCGCAGTCAGACATCGACTCACTACCAACGCAGGAGTAATAGACACTGACTACACAGGTGAATTGAAAGCTGTTATGGTCAACCAAGGGAACCAGGACCATAAGGTGGAAAAAGGCGACAAGATTGCCCAGCTAATTATCGAAAAGATCAATGAACAAGAATTCCAAGAGGTGACGAGCCTAAGAAAAACCACCAGAGGAACCAAAGGGTTCAGAAGCACGGACACCCAAGGTCCAACCAAGAAGAAACAACCAAAGGTCGAAATCAATCGGATATCGGCACAAGCATTCAGCAAGTTTTATCGCAGAGGAGATATAGCAGGAATCCTTAAGTGGGATACTCAAGAAGAAAAAATCAGTCTGTCCAAGATCAACATCAGTACCGAACTGGCCATAAGGAATCGGACTCAAGCAAAAGAAGAAAGATTGGATCAAATAATACCAAAAGAATATCACCAGCACCTGGACCTATTCCAAGAAAAAGAATCCACCAAGTTACCACCTCACAGACCCGAGGTGGACCTAGCAATCGATTTAGAAGGAAGCACAGAGGGATTACCCAGGAAAAGGATATATCCAGTAGGAGAAACGGAACTCGAAGAACTAAGAAAATATATTCAGCAAAACCTCGAACGAGGATGGATCAAACAATCTTATGCCAACGGAGGATCACCCATCCTGTTCATCAAGAAAAAGAATGGGAAGTTAAGACTATGCATCGACTACTGAGCCCTCAACGGCATAACGAAGAAGGATCAATACCCCCTACCTCTAATCGGTGAAGCACTGCATCGACTAGCAT